TTCACAATAGGGTTTGCGCTCGTATGAAAATCTTGGCCCTGCTCATTAGATTGAGAGGCAGAGTTCAGGTGGGAATGCTTGCCCAGTGCTCACCTTCTGCTTTGTGGCCTGGTTCTTAACAGGCCATGGGTTGGGAGCCCCTGCTGTAAAGGACATGATGACAAATTAGATACAACCTCTTCCTTTAGAGACATACAATCTAGGAGAGACGCAAGATATGGACACGTAAGTTCAAGTGTGAGGAGTATGTTGAAAAATAGCATAAAAGTAGTACCATGAAGTGCTACAAGATTTCAGAGGAGGGCTGTATCATGTTTGAACATGGCATCTAGGAAAGGCTTCACTGACTACATGGCATTTTAGCTCTTCTGAAGTGTGGGGAGGAATTCAGCTGGCAGAGATGGGAGGGATTCAAATGAAGAGGAAGTAGGATGTCACAGGTTGGTTTGGGGAATGCCAGATAGGCCAGTTTGATAGAGGACAGACCATGTCTAAGGGACTGCAAGGCAAAATTGGGGGATGGGGGCAGTTTATGCAGGGCTCTCAAGGTCAGTCTAGCAGAGTGACAGAGCCACTTAAGGTTTTCTTCAGGGAATTACACAATCTATCTGTTCCTGTAAAAACTTAGAAGGACATGCTGGAGGGAAGAGATACTGGAGGCTGGAATTCCATTTAGGAGTCTTTTTTTAGTGGTCCAGGCATTTGTGTGATAAGAGAAAGTGGAGGGGAGGAAACAAGCACTTATTAAGAGCTCACTATGTGTAAGGTATTTATTTAAAGTGTATTAGATATAACACTCCACAACAACTGTGAAAGGTAGATAACATCAACTCCAATGTTCAATTTAGGAAACTGAAGCTCAAAAAGTTCAGTAGTGTGCCCAAGGTCACTGAGTTAGTTACAACAAGGCGGGGGTGGGGGGACAGTGGCAACTGAGACTTCAAAACCCATTTTATAATATACACCAGGTTGATTAGGGCCTTCCTTTCATAAGCTCCCCGAAATTCAGGATCAGCTGTTGAGGATTTTAGCTGTGCCTCTAGTACAGAACTAGAAATAATAACATATGGTAGGAGAATGATTCTGACAACAGATGAAATTAGAGAGACTCTTCTACCCCACACAGCCACAGAAACTTCCCTGCTAGGCTGAGGGATTGAGCTTTCAATGAGGTGATCATGTCTTATCTGTCTCTGGATCCCCCAGAGCAAGATCAGGGACTGGCATTGTAGAACCTCAAGAAGAAAGCTGTTGTATTAAATTGAACTTGTGATTCATGTTACATATGTTCTGTCCTCAACTGAAGTTCTAATGAAACAAAGTATTTTGCATGGTTCTAAGACTGCAATTCACGAGAGTTGTTTCCACAGATGAGACCCACTCTAAGCTCTGGGACAAACTCTGATCCTAGTTGGGAGAATATGAGGATTGAACTGAGAGCTCAGCAGCATGGCATCAAGTCAGCCTCACTGCCAGTCTTGCTCTGCTCCTCGATCCAAGCCGTAGATTCTGAGTATGCTCCTTCTCACCACTAGGATCCAGCTCTCCCTCCTTTTTAACTTCCGGTAGCTACAATCCTGGCTTGCTCCCTAGGCCAGCATCCCTGTCTTTGAATTTTGCCCACATATGGGATCTTCATTTCTCCAACAAAATATGAAACATAGCAAGACCTTTTTGATACCAACTCTTTGCTTGCTGAAACCTGCCAGGCTGTGTTTTGCTTATATTCCAAGGCTACTGTCTGGGTCCCTGGGACTGTCTCTGATCTCCTGGATTACTTCAGCTGGTCTGTAGAGTTATCCATCATACTCCAGACCTCCTTGGTCTAGCCTGTGCTTCTACTTGATGAAAGGAATTTGGACAACAGTCATTATAACATCGGTTGAGTATCCCTTATCCAAAATGCTAGGGACCAGAAGTGTTTTGAATTTTAGATTTTTTTTTTCAGATTTTGGAATATTTACAAATACATACTAGTTGAGGATCCCTAATCCATAAATTCAAAATCTGAAATACTCCAATAAGCATTTCCTTTGAGCATCATGTTAACACTCAGAAAGTTTTGGATTTTGGAGTATTTTGGATTTCAGATTTTTGAATTAGACTGCTGAATCTGTAATAGTGGTAATATTCAAAACTTATATAACATTTGCTATGTGTCAGGCACTGTTCTATGAGTTTTATAAATATTGATTGTATTGATTCTTATAATCATCACATTATTATTAGCCTCATTTTGTTGTTGGAATAAAAAGTAAAACAAAAAACCAACCTGAGTAGTTGTTACTTGTCTAATGTGACGATGTTTGCAAGTGCCAGAGCAAGACTTTGAACCCAGGCATTCTGGCTACAGTTCATCCTCTTAATCACTATACTCTCCTAATAGCAGTGAGAAGATAGAAAACTGCCACTAGTAAATGTACTATCTTAGATGCTTTATTTAATATAATTTACATAATACCACCAATAATTATTAGACTTATGTTAATAAATGTGTTAATATCTAGCTATAACTATAAACCTTTAGCCATTACATGAAGCTAAAACTTTAATATATGAGTATTTTCATTTTGATTGAAAATCTACAGATATTCTGCATTTAGGCAAGTCTAATAAGACAGAATTCACAGACATTGCTGTTTCATTTAGCAAAAAGAATCCAAGAATACCAGTAGAGAATATCATCATGAATAAGACTCTGATAGGAGGGGAAACAAACAGTCCCAGGGACCCAGACAGTAGCCTTGGCATATAAGCAAAAAAAAGATGGGAGAACTTAAGAATCAAAATAGAGACTGCTGACATCTTGGCAATTTGGATTGTTCTGCACTGTAGTTCACTTGACGAAATGATGACGTTTCACTGTTACCAATTCAGAAGATGAACATCTGACTAAACATATTACAATGAAGAATTTAAATAAGAATTAAATAAGATTGTAGGCCAGATGTGGTGGCTCACACCTGTAATCACAGCACTTTGGGAGACTGAGGCGGGTGGATCACAAGGTCAGGAGATTGAGACCATCCTGGCTAACATGGTGAAACCCTGTCTCTACTAAAAATACAAAAAAAAAAAAATTATCTGGGTGTGGTGGCACGTGTCTGTAGTCCCAGCTACTCGGGAGGCTGAGGCAGGAGAATGGTGTGAACCCAGGAGGTGGAGCTTGCAGTGAGCCAAGATCCCTCCACTGCACTCCAGCCTGGGTGACAGAGCAAGACTACGTCTCAAAAAAAAAAAAAAAAAGAATTAAATAAGAAATAAGATTGTAATACTACTTATATTAATATGTAACTGATTTGTGTTATAGATGTAATTTGTTAAAACAGAGCAGTCACTTCAAAAATTTGGTGAGTGTACCTATGTATCAGAGGCATATAAGGCATATAAGGACTTTCTTTTCTTTTCTTTTCTTTTTGAGACGGAGTCTGGCTCTGTCACCCAGGCTGGAGTGCTGTGGCTGGATCTCAGCTCACTGCAAGCTCCGCCTCCCGAGTTTACACCATTCTCCTGCCTCAGCCTCCCAAGTAGCTGGGACTACAGGCGCCCGCCACCTCGCCCGGTTAGTTTTTTGTATTTTTTAGTAGAGACGGGGTTTCACCGGGTTAGCCAGGATGGTCTCGATCTCCTGACCTCGTGATCCGCCCGTCTCAGCCTCCCAAAGTGCTGGGATTACAGGCTTGAACCACCGCGCCCGGCTAGGGAGTTTATTTTCTAACAGTAGAAAGATCACACACAAGTAAACAAACACATAATTCCGACTAGCAATAAGAACTATGAAGAAAGTAAAACAAGGTAATGCAATACAGAATGAAGTACTTGTAGTGGGCTAGTCAGGATACAACATTTGAGCTGGTACCTGACTGACAAAGAATAAGGGTGGTAATGTGACAGAGGTGGTCTGCTCAAGGAGAAAAAGGAGGCCAGAGTGGCTGAAGGATCATGAGAAAGGGAGAGACTGGCATGAACTCCAGTTGGAGAGGTGAGCAGAGTCCAGACTATAGGTCCTTGCAGGCCACAGCAAGAGATCTGAATTTTGTTCTAAGTATTAGAGGAAGCCACTACAGGGTTTTAAGTTAGGGAAGTGATATAGTATAACCTACATTTAAAAAACATCAGTTTAGCTGCTATTTGGAGAATGCATTCCAAGTGGTCAAGAACAGAAGCATAGAGGCCAATTAGGAAGCTACTGGAGTAGGGAACAGAAGATGGCAGTTTGAACTCAAGTTGCATCAGCAGAAACAGAGAGAATTTGTAGACAGAACTGATAGGACTTGTTGATGGGCTTTGATGCAGGGAGGTAGGGAAAGAACGCAATTAGGAATGACTTGTAGATTTTGAGTGGGTGGTTGTGTGATCTAGTAATAGGCGGAAGATTAAGGAAGAAACAAATTTTAAGAAAAATTCCTATCAGTAGAATATTAGTAAGTACAGTGGTAGTATAGTGATATCCACAATGACATTTATATTAAACTCAGGGAATTAACAAGCAACACACTTTCACAAAACCTTAGAGAATATGATCACTGGTTAGACCTTTTCTTTGATAGAAAAATCAGCCTACCTCAAGCCCCAAGACCATTTCAGCTATGGAAATGAAAACTACAATCATCTATTTCTGGCCTTCCATGGGCATATTTTGTTTCATGGGGCAGCTCTAGAAGCTCTGAAGTGTGTGAACACATGACAGGCACTTGATAAAGGAGCGGTGAACTAAATGACACCTCCTTGTCCCATTACAATCTACTCACAATAAAATGGAGAGTAGAACTGAGGACTCTGAAAATTGCCATGTATCATGAGTTTGGATTACATTATTCCCTTATTTTAAAAAATCCTATTATATATGTGTGTGGATACACACATACCACATACACAGATGTGTATTTCTCTCTGATACTATTAATGTAAGAAGTAAGTATGTTCCAAACATTTTTCCTAATATATGATCAGCGCTTTCCCACAATATTTTCATTTTACAATGAATAGTCATTACATACCTGTAGCACATCACCAAGGTCTGCTGTGCTAATATCTGGATCCTCTGTGGTGTTAAAAGGCACAGGAGTTATTCGTACAAGGGTGAGCACTCTAGGTTCTGGGTATCTCCATAACATCATCCCTGGGCAATCTTCAGTTTCATTATAAAATAAGACTTCATAGACCCCAGGCAATTTCAAATATTCTGTCAAATAAAAATATAATTAATTGTATGATTTTAAAGGGGAACATGGTTTAGTAAAGGAAGAAAAACTTATGAGAATAAAAGATATAAAGAAGCTAGTTGATCGGCTTTATATATATTCTGGAACAGAAAGAAATCAAGAACTTCCCCTAAGAGAGACTGAATGATAACGTACTATTTTTGTACTGCAAATTTTAATGCACTTTAAAAAGTCATCTTGATTGTTATTATTTAGTCAACATGCATTTAAAATGCACCCACATGCACACACACACTCTCATACTGAGGCTACTGCTACTTACCAGCATCCTGTACATATTGAAATAGACCTGTCCGTAGGTCATCTGAAGTTTGTTCACTTTTAAATGTCTGATTCTTTTCCACAGGAGATGACATTTGAGGTACTGGTTCAGAAACTTGTACTTCAAAATTTCCCGCCTCACTAAGGTATCCATTGAGTAATTCATGTAGAAGAACTAAACAATTCAAATGTTCTTGACCCCAGAAGACCTTTAAAATCATAAAAAAATTCTAGTGGCTTTTAAATACAAATATTTCTTGAGACTAAGTAGGTATAATCATATTTGAATTACTGTAGGACTGTAATTATGTTCAATTTAATTACTTATAATAAACTGTAATTCCTAAAAAGTAACTGACCTACAGGATGAAATTCTACTGCTTGAGTAAATATATAACAACAAAAAATTAATTATATTTTATATTGTGTGAATAACAATAAAATTTAAATGTTGAAGTATGTTGATGTGAAGTAATGTTTATGAATTAATTTAGCTAAGAGGGAAAAGAACCCTATTATAGTCTGAGAGAAGGCAATGAAGATCCTCTAGGCCAAAATGTTAATAAAATCATAATAATAACCTTGTGGAATAGCTCTGACATTTTGTCATGAGATTAAATAAGCAATCCTTATAATAGGGTTCCTTTCTCTGCACTTTTATTTTTCAGAGAAAAAGAGAGGGAGCCTTCTCAATGAACCTGAACTTAGAAGGCTCCCAACTTCCGTGGTTAGTAAGACTGTGCCAACACAGAGGATTCCAGAGCCCCTGAGAATCAACTATACTACAGTAGCTACAGTAGAGTTTCAGAACAAAAGGACTTAGCGTTTCCTCTAATGGAGATTAAGTTTTCTTTTTCTGCATGTGAGTAATATTAGTCTATAATAAGTTATAGACATATAATGACCAGTAGGTTACAATGAAGATTAAAACTTTCAAAAATGTTAAATTTCTCTGTAAATACTAAATAAAGGCAATACAACTATCAATTCTAAGAGAACCAGGTAACACAGAAAAGACAAAAGAATATATAGTAGTAGAAAATAATAGCCCTATATCGTGTGGGTAAATTTTAAACCCTAGGCTTAGGTTCTGCTCTCTGGAATTAAGGCATCTCAGAAATGAAAGTAAGAGATATAACACTAAGTGTACTTGTGTTCTCATCAATCTTATTTTTATTGGATGTTGAAAAATAGAGATAGGCGAAAAGTCAAACTGGGGAGTAGAATGTTGTGCTCTAGCCTTTAAATTGTCAAGAGACAATGACTGTAATACAGAGATAATACACTGTACTTTGTTTTTGCTTTTATTGATGCTGTGGTTTAAAATTTTCTTACTTTTTATTTTTAAGCACTTGGTCATGTAAACAGATCACTGCTGTTTTTAATGTGAAGTTACTTGGCTGCCTTGGAAAAAAGGTAAGACAATGAATATTCTTGATAAAGTAATACATGCTTATTGCTAAATATATGAAGATTTCTGATAGATGCTGAAAATCTCCAAAGCAACACAAAACAATAAGTTATTAGGATCTTCCCAAATCTTGCTCTGTACATTAAAAAGAAAACTGGTGAAAACTTGAGGCAATACAACTTTCAGATAAAAACAAAAAATTGGCCAGGTGCTATGGCTCATGCCTGTAATCCCAGCATGGGTGGAGGATCACTTGAGCCCATGAGTTTGAGACCAGCCTGGGCAACATAGTGAGAACCTGTCTCTTAAAAAAAATAGTCAGGCATAGTGGTGCATACTTGTGGTCCTGGGTACTTGGGAGGCTGAGGTGGGAGGATCTCTTGAGCCCAGGAGGCTGAAGCTGCAGTGAGCTGTTATCACACTACTGCACTTCAGGATGTGCAACAAAATGAGATCCTATGAGATCCTATCTCAAAAAAAGAAAGAAAGAAAGAAAGAAAGAAAGAAAGAAAGAAAGAAAGAAAGAAAATTCACATTTAATGTCTCTATTATTGACCAATTAGTTGTTTTAATTTTCTATCACTGTGAATCTTTCAAGCTTTTTGGATTCATGTCAAGTTTAAAGTGGCATCAAATTACATAAAGATTAAATTAAAATCTATCCAAACACAAAATAATCAAGAAATAAGTTGGATATCTTCATATATTCTACACTTGGCTGTTAATACAAATGCATTAAGAGCTTGCAATGTGACTAATTTATCAAGTGTTGTAATCAGATCTCATCACATGTAAAATATTTAATATTAGGAAATGGTTCTTATATATTGCTAGTGACACTGTGCCTGCAACAGGTTGACTACTTTTAGTATTAATAATTTAAAAAATCTATAGCCTGGACAACATAGTGAGACCTAATCTCTACTGAAACAAACAAACAAACAAACAAACAAACAAAAAACGAAACATTAGCTGGGTGTGGTGGTACACAGTTCTACCTACTCAGGAGGTTGATGCAAGAGGATCACCTGAGCCTGGAAGATTGAGGCTACAGTGAGCTATTATTGTACCACTGTACTCCAGCCTGGGTGACAGAGCAAGATCCTGTCTCAAAAAGAAAAGTCTACACATAAAAAAAAAAATTCAACCCAGCAATTCCACTCCTAGTTATATATCTAAGAGAAATGAAAACATATGTCCACACAAAAAGTTGTACACAAATGTTCATGGCAGCATTATTTATAGCAGTCAAAAGTGGAAAGAACCCAAATGTCTATCAACTGATGAATCAATATATAAAATATGGTATATCCATATGATGGAATATTATTTGGCCATAAAAAGGAATAAAATATTGACACTTGGTAAACATGGATGAACCTTGAAAACACTCTAAGTGAAAGAAGTCAGTCACAAAAGATCACAGGTTATATGGTTCTATTTATATGAAATGTCAAGAATAGGTAAATCTATAGAGACAGAAAGTAGATTAGTGGTTTCCTAGGCCTGATGAGGGGGTTAGAGGGTAATGCGACTGGCTGCTAATGGATATGGGTTTTTTTGTTGGTGGTAATGAAAATGTTCTGAAATTGACTGTGGTAATGATTGTGCAACTCTGCGAATATGCTTAAAAACCCACTGAATTGTATACTTTAAATAGGTAGAGTGTCTGGTGTATGAATTATATCTCAATAAAGTTGTGGAAAATTTAACAAGTAGCAATCTGACAAATACCCTTTCTTACCACACATTTAAAATTTAGTGAAACAGTTCAAAAACTGAACAGAGGCTAGTTAATAACCTATGAAAAAAATATGGCCAATACCCACAGACCTGTAGCAGACCTCCTCTTAAGTCAATGGATATTTTTGGTATGGATTGCTCCGGGCCTGGATTGCCGCTGTGTTTACACCATTTAGCTTCCAGATTGGCAGTAGCACAACATGGTCCTATCAGAATGCGGCTTCTTTCTTTGAGACTTGTTTTAAGGAGAAAATCGTTTATAGTGAGTAGAAATGATGACCCAAGAATTACGCCTGAAAAAAAAAATAGAGAAGAGTATATAATTCATCCTTATCAAAAAAATGTTTGGGAAAGAACTGCCTGTATTTTTGAAGAGTATTAATTCGTCCTTTGTCAGAGTCTTCTTGCTCAGTTGGCAGTCCACCACCGTTTCATGCCATTTATACAGAGTTCTAGTTATAAAGCAGGTATACCTCATTCACATTCCTAACAAAGTAATATTTGCCAAAACATTATGACTTTTTCCATGTGTGAGCATTTTAAGTTTTATGAGTAGAGACATTTTCATTAAGTTGTGCAAGTTTTTCAAGCAACTACATTAAGAATAAGAACAGCTGCTTCATTTGTCTATTGTTAACATGATGGGAAAGGGTAATTTTCTGTGATTTCGTACAGTAACAGAGTGCAGTATATTACTTTGCTAGACACTCAAGTTTTTTACTGGCCCATGTTAAAATTCAAAACAATCAAAATATATAACATGTGTTTTCTAAAAATTTTAGTTTAATCCAAACTTCACACATCATAACCACTTGAAGTTTACAAAGTCTTAAAAACAGATAGTGGCAGGTTAGATTTATGAGAAAAACTATATGCTATAGTTCAAAGTAAATATACCCAGAAAAGGAATACACTTTAAAATGTAGGTTTTCTTTTGAACTTAAAATAGGAGTGTAGATCAAAACGTTTTCATAAAACCAATGGCACATTTTAAGATATTTAGATGCAAAGTTAGAGTGGTGAGTTAACTTTCCTCCCAAGGAGCTCATATTATAAATTGTCAGAGTGAATATTGAATTTCACCAGACCACGTTTGTAATGCCCATGGCTTATTTTTCTAATGATATTTGATCCCTAAAAAAGATGAAAGATTAAAAAACACCTTAGGCCCATAGTATACACATGTTTCAAAGGACAGTAACCACACTGACTTTTCAATTCTGTAGAGACTTGAAAATTTCATATAAGTTGTATATTCCTACTGCAGAAATAAGATATTCAACCTCTAATCCTCCACAGAAGGCATCACACCCACAAAAGCGTTAGAGATAAGACTTTTGTTTAAAAATAATCATGGTGGAAATCCATTGCTTAAAATGTTTCATCAAATTGTGAAACTGAAACTACCATTTCATTTACAATTATCCTGATTCAAAGCTTTCACTCAGTCTAAACAAACAAATAAACAAGCAAAAAAAGCACTCCAGAAAATAAAAGAAATAGAAATAGGCCCCAAAATACCCCCAAATAAAAAACCATCTTTATTAACAGAGTCCATAACTTAAGCCATAATTTTCTGACTTAACAGCATTACCTTTCTAAAATATCTAAAACTTCTAAAAGTAAATATTTGCTAAATGAAATATATCTATTCATCATCCAGAAATTTGCCATAAAGGCATAAAAGTATAGCCTTAATTCAGTACAATTATTTAGTAAATGAGCATTAACAGAATGTCAGGATTACATCATCTTTTATTTTCAAATACACATATCTTTGTACAACCCCACACTGACATACATAATTAACTGTTTGTAATCTTATTGTGATAGTCATATTGAATCCTTGTACACAGTGTTTAATGCCAAAGGCCACCTAGTTTGCTTACCTTATTTAATGGTTATCATTATCTCTTCAGGCACCCAGACTGAAAAATCTAAGGTCCTCTTTGAAGGCTCTTATTTCCTTTGACAAATTTCTAAAACTTATCAATTTCTATTTCATTCTCTCCAACTCCATTATTTTAAAACATCAAAGAAGAGACACCTGAATAATATGAGTGACTGAAAGAGACGATCACACCATTTTCAAGCTCTAGTACTGACCACGCTGGAGGCAAGGACCAGCTTATTCAGTGTAGTCCTGGGCACAACAGTAGCTATTCAGGACATGTTCCATTGAACTGAATCGACAGTTTAGAATCTGATCCTATTTTTCAGCTGCCTCAACGTATTTCTTAATTGGTAGACAGGAAATAAAACTGCTTACATCTTCGGTTTCATTTTGTACCACTGTAACATAACAAGGCTGGATGGAAGAGATCTAGAAATCATCTACTCCAAGACCCTTCACTTAAAAAAAAAAAAAAAAAAAGCTTTCTATTTTGGAATAACTTTGGACCTACACAAAAGCTGAAAAAACATACTGTATAACGTTCCTGTATACCCTTCACCTAGCTAAGTAACTTTAGTACAAATACTGTAATCAGGAAATCCACATCAATATAATACTTTTAAATAATCTACACATCTTTTTAAAATTTTGCCATTTTTCCCACTACTTTCCTCTTTCTGGTCCAGGATTCAACCTAGGATCTCTGCTGAATTTAATCATCAAAGCTTCTTAGTATTCTTTAATATGTGACAGATCCCCCAGTTTTCTTTGTCTTTCATGACCTCGATACTGTGGAATAACCCAGGACAGTCATTCTGCAACATGTCTGTCAGTTGGGGTTTATCTGATGTTTTCTTGTGATTAGAATGAGGTTATGCATTTTTGGCAATACCACAGAAGTGACACCCTTAGTGCATCATATTGATGTATGTGATACTTAATATTTTACTATTTACAATATTAACTCTGATCATATGGCTAAAGTGGTGTCTGTCACATTTTGCCACTGTAAAGTTAACACTTTCCCCTTGTAAATAAGTATTTTTGCGGGAGAGACACTTGGAGGTTATGCAAATATGCTCTTTTTCTTCAAACTTTCACCCACTGATGTTAGCATCCACCAGTAGTCTCACCTGCAATGATTTCTTGTGGTGTGTGATAATGGTGGTTTCCTATTTCCCTTATTTAGAGCTGTCCCTTCTAGTGCCCACTTCGGTAGCACATATACTAGAGCTGTCCCTTCTACCCCATATACTAATTCAATTATTTATTTATATCAGTATGGACTCATGAATATTCATTTTTATGGGTTATAATCCAATACTATCATTATTTACATTGTTGCTTACTCTGAACTAGCTTTGGCCATTGGGAGCCCTTTAAGATGGTCCCTGTGTCCTTTTAGTATATGCTCATCTTTTTTTTTTTTTTTTTGAGACAGAGTCTCACTCTGTCACACAGGCTGGAGTGCAGTGGCATGATCTTGGCTCACTGCAACCTCTGCCTCCTGGATTCCAGTGATTCTCCTGCCTCAGCCTCCCGAACAGCTTGGATTACAGGCGCCCACCACCATGCCCGGCTAATTTTTGTCTTTTTAGTAGAGATGGGGTTTCACCATGTTGGCCAAGCTGGTCTCAAACTCCTGACCTTGGTTGATCTGCACATCTCGGCTTCTCAAAGTGCTGGGATTACAGGCGAAAGCCACTGTACCTGGCCTATGTCCATTATTTTTTGAGAACTTCTTTACTTTCAGGCCACAAAATATTTCAGGCTCATCTTGTATTTTTCCCACCTTATCTCCAACACCAGCCATTTCTCCAAGGAGCTCTGGTTTCTTTTGTTGAAGAATGGTATCTAGAAACCAAAATCTGGGTGGTAGGTATGCTCGTTGCTACTGGGGTGTCACTGCTGCTAGGTCCTTTCAGCAGAGCTAAGAAGTATATGTATGTGTAGCAACCCCTGTATACCTACGTATCTTTGTCTCTCTCTCTCTATCCACTGGTAAATATATTAAAAACCATGAATTCATACTGATACCTCAGGTTCAAATCCAACAGCACAGAGTGGTTTCTAGCCTTCTCCCCTTCCTTATTTGTAACCTCTTTCTATGACGGTGAGAAACTTGCTAAGTACCTCTTCAGGTGTGTCTGTTTCTAATCCACCCTAAACCATCACTTGGAGTGGTCAAAATTAAAGCAAAAGAACTAAGAAAGCCATAAAGAACAAGTTTATGGAAGCAAAGGTAATTATCTACTAAAGAAAAGTCAGAAAAGGTTGATATTTACTCCTGGAAGTCTCTTTAGGAGTGGGCTTGACAACATTTTGTCTACAAAGCATAGAGAGGAATGAGATTCCTTTCTCACTCTATAGTGGCTTTCATTTAAAAAAGAATATTTGTAAGCATGATAAAATCTTATATTTGTAGAAATAACATAATACATACAAAATTTGGATCATATTAGGTATTTCTATTATGCAGGAACCACTTTAAAATACCGATATTGCACTAAATACTGATGTACTAAAATTATGAGGATTTGTCTTAAAAGAACTAGTACTGAAATGTCAAAATTCATATCATTCTATATTATGCATATCACTTGCAAAGTGCCTAACCTCTTAGAGAACTTAAGTAGAGTTGATGGAAGGCTCTTTTTAACCCTCCCAAAGTTACACAATTACAAGTTCTTATTGACTGGGGCAAGGAGAGAATGAAAAAAAAAAATTCCAGACTTGAATTATTACAAAACAAATATAGAAAAACACTTCCCTACTATTACACAAATCCCTTTTTTTTTTCCCCTTGGGGACAGAGAATGGGATAGCTAGAATTCTCAAGAGAGTAAAGATAAAGGTAGGGACAGAAATATCAGGAAAATGGCATAGAATTAGGAAGCCAATGATCACACAAACATTTGGGAGCCTGGAACAAGAAGAAAGTGGGCCAGACTCAGGTGAGCACTAAAGAGGACCAGAGGATGCACAATGTGCTTCAGAAATAGAGGCCCTGCAATGAAGGCAGGCACTAAGCTAGCTATAGCTATGTTCCGGTGACTACAGAATCCAATGACTGGTTTGCCGGAAACAGTCTAGCAGGTTGTGGAACTTGCCACACTTTATGGGACTTTATGTTTGATATTCTCTGGAGATTGATTTGGTTCCAGAATGAGCATAATATTCAATGAAAACCACTAAGGTATAATAATACTTTTGGGAACATGACCCTTCCTCTTGCTCCCTGGTCTTGAGGTTAAGAAAATTAAGGCCCTGGAACTACTGGCAGTCAGCATGTGGAGCCTAAGGGACGAAGCTGCGTAAAGCAGAGGGAAGAAATCTAACAGACTCAAACTCATCCTTTTTTATGGCTGCACAGTATTCTCAGCAAACTATCACAAGAAC